TCCTAAAAGTTAAAGACAGGTTAATCGAAGTAGAAAGAAATGTAAGTATTTAAAATTCTTAGTAGGAGGCCGGGCCTTGGTGGCACACCCCTTTAATCCCAGCACTCGGGAGGCAGAGGCAGGCGGATCTCTGTGAGTTTGAGGCCAGCCTGGTCTACAGAGCGAGTTCCAGGACAACTTCCAGAACAATACAGGGAAACCCTGTCTTGAAAAAAAAATTCTTAGTAGAAATAAAACTTGAGAAATAATGCATTGTTGGATATATTTATCTTTCATAAATTTATTTTGTACTTCCTTGTCTAGTTTATCATATAAAAATCTAAATTTAGTATGCTTTGCTCTTTACCCTCTTGTATGTCAATCACAAGCTTAATCAGTGCTTCTCTTTAATAGTTACAGCTGCTGTCTCAGAACTATCTTAGCTGTGGCTTTATGCCCTCTCCTTGTCAGCTATTTTTGTATCTTTTTGCTTTGTTTTCCTTTTTGTCTGTAGACAGAATAAAAACAGCAAGCAGTAACTGTAAGCATTTCAGCTCCACATCAGGGAGCCAAGGACTTCCACAGTCACACTGCACAAGAAACCTCACACAGGAGATTCATTGGGAGGGAGAAAGGCAGGAGGGTGGCTGCTCAGGCTTGAAACAGCAAACTGATACAGGATGTATGGCTTATGTAGAGTTCTTGGGAAGGAGGTAGAACTTTTCCAGGGTGGAGATTGGTGGGATTTCATGTCCAGAGATTGGGCTTTTCATTCTGTCGGATGGGGCAGGGTCCAGCAGTTAGGGTGTACTGAGGGTGGAGGGTGGAACCTGGCAGTTAGAGGTCCTTGGGAAGTGGCTGGAGGGGCTTACAGTAACCATGACACTGAATGCTATCCTGTTTTGAGATTTCCTCCACCAAAGCAATTTGTCCATGACTTTTGAGTTCAGTTTCTCAGCACATGGGAGGAATATAACCAGATTTTGCCATAATATAATGTAAATGGCTTCTATCTGAATTTTCCATAGTTTTCCCACTGTGTTCCTCTTCTGCTCTTCCAAAATCCTACCAGATTGGCCCTTGCTTACAATATTGTAGTGCTTATCTAGTCCAGAGTTTCAAACTCTGCCACATTGTTCCTGAAGTCTACTCCCAGAGGTCTGAGAACTATTATATGGCCAGGTTATCACAACACAGCCCCACTTTGTAACAGTATTCTCAGTTAGTTACAGAGATACCTGACCAAAGCAACTTGAACAAGGAAAGATAGGTTCACAGTTCCAGGATAGAATTCATGAAGGCAGGGAAATCGTGGTAACACGGAAGTTCTATTGCTCAGCTCACCTTTTCAGCTGTATTGAGTCCTGTACTCCAATCCCTGTGATGGTGCTACACACATCTATACATCAGTTAACCCACTTCCCTCACAGACATGCCCAGGTTTGTTTCCTAGGTAGTTTAGATTTTGTCCTGTATAATAAATACCCTGTATCAAAACAACGTGTGTGTGTGTGTGTGTGTGTGTGTGTGTGTGTGTGTGTGTGTGTTTGAACAAGACAGTATGGCATGCTTTTTCATCCTTTCAACAGATGACTTAAAAAGAGAACAGTATAATTATCTGCCTCAGCTTGTGTGCATTTACTTGCTGTTTCTGTTGCTATTGGAGACAAGTTCTCTGTAGGTAACTTGCAATCTTGCTGCCCTGCCTCCCTGTTTCTGATGTTTCAGGCTGTTATTACAGCCACATCCTCAAAATTACAACCTCCATTTTACACAGTGATATGTTGTTTATATAATATAAAAGTGAAGTTTTCTTTGTCTTGTATTACAGATAAAACAGAGCTATTGTGATTCATTTGTATCACTTTCTGTTTAGTCAGTACCACATGGTACATAGTCAACCTAGGTTTTTTGTATATTAAAGTTTTATTTCTGGTATATGGTGGAGTCTTTGGTTATGCTTTTTAGTGCAAATGTAGATTTTATGAAATGTAATTTATAAACAATTAATCTTAAATGTGTAATATTCATGCCTGTCATTTTAATATCCATGACTAAAACAGTAAATTCACTTGTGTAACTACAAGAAGAAAATATGGTTTTATGTACTAGAAAAATTGAAAATGATAAAAATTTTGGATACACTTCAGAAGTCCTTAGAGTTGAAATATAGTTTCATATCCTGGAAAAAGGAAAACAAAACATAATGCTTGCTAGGTCTGTTATGGACTGCATTTCTTAAGAGATGGCTAAAATTATTTGTGTAAAGCTGCTTCTCTTCCAAGTTTGTTTGTTTTGAAAGTATGTATTTTTCCTTCTAACCCAGGATTACCACTTAGCCATGTGTACATTGAAAAGCTAAACCTTTTTAGTTGGATACATTCTACCACTAACTTACACCTTCAGCACTAGAAGAAAATATTTTATTTTAGGACATCATAAAGCAGACAGAAGACAGGCACACTAGTATTTTAAGGTTATAGCAGTATTGTATCCTTTTTATGAATTAAATATTTACTACTTGTGATTGAGGAGAAAGGTTTTTTCTTTTTTAAAGGTTGTTCAAGCTTATTTTATTAAATACCATTATCTGTTAAAAATGTCCGTTTATTTTTAATAAATGTATCTTTCCTTGTTTTAAGAATGCTACGTTGCAAGCAGAGAAACAAGCACTGAGAACCCAGCTGAAGCAGCTCGAGACACAGAACAACAATTTGCAGGCTCAGATTCTCGCACTTCAGAGGCAGACAGTGTCATTACAGGAACAGAGTACCACTCTTCAAACACAGAACGCCAAACTTCAGGTTGTATCAAACACTTGAATTATATACTAGCATATTGAGGGAACCTAGACATACAAACATTGTTCCTTAATGAATTTAATAATTGATGGAAGATGTAAATATTTTGTTTGCTTCTATGCCAGACTTTTAATGTGAACATTTTGAAATGTCAAAGTCTATATAAATTATTAAATTCATCCATGGTATAAGTGAAGATGATCTTACTTAGATTTAGTTTAGAGTCTTTCTGTCCTTTCAACATGTTGATTCCAACCCTGAGTGCAAACCACTTATTTCAGAGTATGATTGTAACACAGTATTCTTTATGTCACTCTTAAAACATTCTTAGAAGTTTAGTTATTGAAAAGCATAACAGCATAGGAATTTTGTCTTTAGATTTGTTTAAAGGATACATTTGATATATACCAAAGGATTCAGCTTCAACTTAACAGTGCCAGTGCCCGTTCACACAGAACTGTCCAGGTGGAAGGAAAGGAAACTGGGTCTAAGTGGTGAAGTAAATGCTAATTTAGACTCCACAGAGACTTTCCAAACATAGTTAAACAGGTAACCTTAATTCTTTGGAAAGCTAAAATCCAATTACTCTACTATAATATGACTACATCCACAGTGATTTAATTAAGGTTTATTTAAGTTAACAGTGTGACTTTTGGTTAAAAAGAGTAGCAAGTGGGTTGAAGAGATAGCTAACTCAAGTAGTAAGGCAATCCCAAGCAGGAGGACCTAAGTTTGATCAGGTCACAAAAAAGCCAGTCATGATAGCAAATGCTTGCAATTCCAGTACTGGGGAGGCATAGGCAAGTGGATCCCTGCAGCTCACTTTCTGGCCAGCCTTGCCTAAAAGTAAGTTCTAAGCTAGAAAGAGACCCTGTCTTTGAAAAAATAAAAAAGAGGACTAGCAAGATGGCAGAGCAGACAAGGATGCTTGCTGTTAACCCTGATGACTGGAGTTTAGTCCCTGCGGTACCCAGCAAGTTGTCCTATCCCCTCCACCCTCTCCCGTCCACAGGCATACCTCTTGTTCTTTCCAGCACACCAGATCCGCCTGCCTCTTCCTTGTAAATTCTGGGGTTAAAGGCATGTACCACCATGCCTGGCAATTTTTTCTTAAACCAGTAATAATATACACATTCTTACAGGTTGAAAATTCCACCCTTAATTCACAAAGTACTTCACTTATGAACCAGAATGCACAGCTTCTAATCCAACAGTCCTCTTTAGAAAGTGAAAATGAATCTATTATCAAAGAACGAGAAGACTTGAAATCTCTCTATGATTCTCTGATCAAAGATCATGAAAAGCTGGAACTTCTTCATGAACGGCAGGCTTCAGACTATGAGTCTCTCATCTCTAAACATGGGACCCTAAAGTCTGCCCACAAGAATCTGGAGGTAGAGCATAAAGACCTTGAAGACCGGTAACTTATATTTTATTGTGCTAATTTAAAACAAATTTCCCTTGGGTATTATCATAAATTTATATATTGGACCATGTAAGATAATTTATGAAGAGAATTTATATAAATGTATGTGTTTTATGTGATGCTTGTTAAATTATTCATGCCCTTCTCTTCTGAAATATTTTCTTTGTTAGTACTATTTAAAGTCAATATCTAACTTTCCCTCCCCTTTTCAGTTACAATCAGTTACTAAAACAGAAAGAGCAATTGGAAGATTTGGAAAAAATGATCAAAATGGAACAAGACAAAATGCTGCTTGAAAGCAAAAACCATGAGATGGTAGCTGCAGAGTACAAGAAACTTTGTGGTGACAATGATAGGTAATGATAGTGTTCATGTATTTTACTTTATATTCTTTACATTGGGGTACAAGGGGGTGCGAGTGTGTTAATAATAATATCCACAGTTTGGACTTAGCTTGGAATTTTTATATGTTATTTTGAGCAGCATACACTTTATTAACTACGTCATCTTCCCATCCCAGTGTCCATTTTTATAATTATCTTGCCTGTTTCCTTTCTTTCTAAAAGGCCCTAAATCACTAGAACCATCTTCATCTTGATACTGTGAAATTCTGAATTTTGTTTCCTATAGTTATTATAAGTAAATATGCTCTTGTGAAAATGTTGAACTTCAGTAAGCACAGTACAATGTTAAAATAGACTGTAGCTTATAGAGGATGCTGTATGGATAGTACAAGCACTTGAAGACCATATTGTGACAAGTTATATAGTAGAAAGGGTTATTTTATTACATACCAAACTTCAGAGAAGTGTAAAGGTCTCATCTTGTAACTCACTGTTGCTGGTATTTTAAAAATAGCATCCAGTTGTACATTTCTGTAGAGCCTGCAGAAGAACAACTTGGTCAGAATGAAAAAGAAATCTAGTATGATGAGTTTGAACAAAATAATGTCCCAGGCTTGGGTCTGAAGTAAAGTGTTTTCTGTATCTCAGGTCTGTTCTTGCCCAGCATTTATTTATTAATGTCTGTGTTCTGTGAAGAGAAAAGGCTTTCTTATGTAAAATGTGAAAGAGCTATTACACAAACATGTACACATATGTTATCTGAGGACTGATAATTCTAAATAGCCTGTTTAATCACAGATAATGCCAAAGAAAGTTTCTTTCATAGAATATGTTGTTTTGGCCTCTGCTATTCACTGGATTTCATTTGACGCTATTGTTTTAAAGGACAATATAAAAAAAATCCAGAACTTATTTTAGCACTTGGTTTTAGGAGGGTTTTGGTTTTGGTGTGTGGGTTTGATGCATGTATTTACATGTTTTTGTGTGAATGCATGAAAGCATGGAAGAGGATAGCATCAAGTGTCTTTAACACTATACCATTTTTACCATTTTTCGTATGTGTGTGTGTGTATGCATGGGTGTTTGTGTGTGTGTATGTGTGTGTACATGCATGTGTGTGTATGTGTGTATATGCATGCATGTGTATATTATATGTACATGTTTGCATGATGGGACACCTGTGGGAGTACAGGTGGAGATACAAGTTGATGCTGAAAATTATTCTTTAATACTCTCCCACTTAATTTATTCTTGGCAGGATCTCTCAAGTCAAACTCAGAGCTCACAGATGTGACTAGTCTCACTCTCGGTTTGCCTTGGGAATCTCCTGCATCCAATTGCCAATACCAAAATGACCCTGGGCTACCTGGACCCCTCTGCACTTAATGTGCACTCTGGGGTCCCAGCGAAGGCCCTCGGGCTGCACTACAAGCATGCTAGCCACTGAGCCACCGTCTTTGTCCACCTGCTTTATTCCTTTTAGACTTCTGAATTTATGTGTATTGGTGGTCTGTTCATGTGCATGTCTGTGTACCATGCACACACCTACTGTCCTCGGAGGTCAGAGAGGGCATTGGATCACCTGGAAATGGGGCTAAGACTGCTATAGCAGCCATGGGGGTGCTGAGAATCAAACCAAGCCCTATGTAAGAACAGCAAGTACTAGTAACTGTTGAACTCTCTTCTCCAGAATGTGACCTTAGTTTTGTTTTGGTGTTTGTTGGTTGGTTGGTTTTCCAAGACAGGGTTTCTCTCTGTAGCTTTAGAGTCTGTCCTCAAACTTGCTCTGTAGGCCAGGCTGGCCTTGAACTCACGGAGATTTGCCTGCCTCTGTCTCCTGAGCGCTGGGATTAAAGTTATGTGCCACTACCACCCAGCAATGCCTTAGTTTTTTGAGATGGGTTCTTCCACTGAACCTAGAGCTCATTGACTGGCTTGCTTTAATGACAGCCATCTCACTCATTTTAGCATTCGTGATAAATTAGAAGACTTCCTATGATGTCTCTGCTACCTATTCCCTGTGAGATATCAATGGAAATTTTTTATTGTTATAGGTGTTGATATGTATACTAGGTAGCTGTATGAGTAATAATGCTTTTTGTTCATGGATTTCATCTATTTATAGTATATTTACCAGTTATATGAAGGAATTTGCCATTTTTTTCATCACGACTTGATTTCTTGTTAATGTGCATTGGTCTTTTGCCTGCATGTATGTCTGTGTGAGGATGCCAGATCCCGTGGAAGTGCAGTTATAGACAGTTGTGAGTTGCCATGTGGGTGCTGGGAATTGAACCCAGGTCCTGTGGAAGAGCAGGCAGTGCTCTTAACTGCTGAGCCATGTCTACAACCCCAGTGTCTTGAGTTTCTAAAAATATTTCATTGTTTAGATTTGGTAAGATGACTTGAATTATTTGATAAATAAATTGAGTGAACTCTTAGGTATTTTGGACAAAGACTATGTAGGCAAGATTGTGTTTTGTTTGCTGTGCCCCTTTTGTGGACTCCTGATTATATAAGAGAAACTTCTCAGGTTATATCTAGTTTAGTGGAGCAGATCCTATCTGTGTCATGCATGACAGCCCCCAAACTAAAAAAAAGTTAAATATCTTGATGAGGTACTAGGGTGATGGGAAAGCAGAATGCTACAGGGAATGCATATGCCCTATAATGTTCTATTTGTTTACTTTCTTGTTTTAAGAAAAATGTTGATATCTCTCCTTGGAAATCAATCAAACTTCGTTTTGAAGGTGAATTGTGAGAAGGAAGAGAAATAGCTATAGCATGATTTTTACAAAATGATAAATGGGGATTACATAAAAGTTAGTAATTTGCCACAGTTGCAGAAAGCAACTTATCTGTTATTTGTTTGTTGCATGTATTTCTTAGTTTTCAGCCAGCATATAGGTTTAGTATTTAATACTGGAGTGATTGATTCACTTACCTTGATCTGTGTTCATGCTTAATTTAGATATGAAATTCCCATGAAACCATAGCCGAATTGGTCATTTTTCCTTTTCATAAAATCTAATTTTTGGAGAAAAACTGGTTATTAGTAACTGGCAAAATAATTTTTATATTTTGTGAATATGTCTGAATATTAACAGCATTTTTACATTGTGAGAACTATTGAAATATTTCAATTATGATTTATAATTGTAGGTTAAATCATACATATAGTCAACTTTTAAAAGAGAATGAAATTTTACAAACTGACCATAAAAACTTGAAAAGTCTTCTAAATAATTCTAAATTAGAACAAACACGATTAGAAGCTGAATTTTCAAAGCTAAAGGAGCAGTATCAGCAGCTGGATATCACATCTACCAAGCTAAATAACCAGTGTGAGGTGAGTGCCAACAAACTTAACCACTGTTTCTTCTTTCAGATGTCAAAGTATGTCTAAAAAGTAATGAGTCGTATTACAGTGACAGTCTTGGTATAGACTTACTGGTGTGTGCAAAAGAATTAGTCACACACAGTTGAAATTCACAAGTAATTAAGAAAAACTATATTTCATCTCTTTTCATTAATTGTTGAAACTTAAGTGTCCAGATGCTTTCTAATGTGTCACATTATGTGTGTTTTTTTAACTATTGAAAAAAATTTTTTACATGTAGCATGAAAGTATAAACCGGTAGGATGGAAAATTAGTTTGCAAACATATACACTTAAATACCCAGCAGAGCCTAGAAAGTTCAAAGCACTCATTCTTCCTGTGATTTGAGTCTAAAATATTTATACAATTAGGATTCTTCTAGAATGGCAGAGTGAGGAACGTGGTACTAAATCAAGTCCTTAATAAATAAACAGCAAAACAATTGAATAATACTGGGGGTGGGGCTGGGGCTACAGTTTAGGACTCCAAAACTCCAGAATGCCATACAGAAAATCAAGGTACACTTTTGCTTAGTAACATGTAGCATTTGTACCTTGTGGATTCTGTCCTCTGCTCTTCTTCCCTGGTTCACACCGACTTGATTTGGAGCAGAATGTCATTGTAAGAGGATAGAGAAACAAAAGAGAAGTTCAGCTTCTTTTACTTTATTATGTGTACAGGAGTTTTGCCTTATGTGTGTATAGTCCCTGCAAAGGCCAGAAGACATCAAATTCTCTGGAATTAGAGTTACAGATAGTTTTGAGCCACCAACTGGGAGCTGGGAATCAAACCTGGACCCGCTGGAAGAATATCCAGTCCTCTTCACTGTAGAGCTATCTCTCCAGCTCCCATTTTTCCACAAATGTACCACATAATATTAATTTAGCAAACATGCAAATAAACCATGCATAGTACAGTGTTGCTAGTTGCTGTATGGAGATGGTGGTCTCCATATACTTAGAATAAATAATCATTCTTCCTGATTTTCTGTTCCATTTGAGAAGTTTCAAATACTGGCTTGCTTTTTCCTTTTGGGCAAGAAGAATGGGAAGTGATTATGAGGGATTGTTCTGAGACAGCACAGTATACCCTGCAAACCAGTAGCATTTCTGCTGGGAAGACTGACTTGATTTGGAAAAGAGTAGAGAAAATATCTGTCTTGCTGGGCATTGGTGGCGCACGCCTTTAATCCCAGCACTCGGGAGGCAGAGGCAGGCGGATCTCTGTGAGTTCAAAGCCAGCCTGAATGAGTTCCAGGACAGCCTCCAAACAATACAGAGAAACTGTGTCTCGAAAAACCAAAAAAAGAAAAGAAAAGAAAACTTATGACTCTCAGAGTCATCAAAAGTCAACCTTCAGACAACCTGAGGTTGAAATACTGGTTTAGGCAAATTGACTAATGAGCTGGTAAGAAATTGAACGAGAAGTTCCAAGAAATGAGACAGTTACAATGAGTTTGGTAAGATAGCACATGTCCCTGATGATCTAGAAGGTTACTCAGCAAAGATTAGAGAGGGTGAGTACTGTCTGCCCTAGCTGATTGTAATTATTTGAATAACATACTAGCCCTTGACTGGGTGTGAAATTATATATTAAGATTTGTAGAGTAGAGACATTAACTGGTTTTAAGAGGTCAGGATGAGAAGGCAGAAAAGGTTTTCTGAAGTACAGTTAATACTGTTTCTTTCTTTCTTTTTTTTTTTTTTTTTTTTTTTTTTTTGGTTTTCGAGACAGGGTTTCTCTGTGTTGTTTTGGAGGCTATCCTGGAACTAGCTCTGTAGACCAGGCTGGTCTCGAACTCACAGAGATCTGCCTGCCTCTACCTCCCGAGTGCTGGGATTAAAGGCGTGCGCCACCAACGCCCGGCTAATACTCTGTTTCTTGATCTGGATCTGGGCACTAGTTTAACAACTGAACACATAACCTGAGACAATTTATTGAACTGTAACTATGTTACACTTACATTTTTTTCTCTTTTCTATGTATCTTTTGTCACAAAAATGCTAAATAAACAACAGTAGAACTTCAGTGATAATGGGCAGCAAATTATTCTTTTGGCTCATGAATGTGTGGTTAGGCCAAGAAGACGCTGATAATACCCACTAGTATTTAAGCCCAAGAGTTCACTTGTGCGTCTTTAGTTGGAAGAGACACGGTAGGGCAGGCTGGTCTGCGGTGCTCTGCACTGTCTCTTCTCTGTTCTTCATAATTTCCTATCTTCTAGCAGGTCCCAGTACTCTTCAGTAGAAACACATACAATGCCTGGGACCTAGACTTGAAATTTTCTTGAGTTATTTTTACTTTTTCTTGGCCAAACCTGTTCCAAGTTCAAGAAAACACATATATTGGTCATTTTTCTATTGCTGTGAAAAACCATTGTGATCAAGGTAAATTGTAAAAGAAGTTTATTTGATGTTATATTGCAAAGGGATAAGAGTCTGTCATGGGAGGAATGCATGGTAGCAAGCAGCAGACATAGTGGCTGGAGCAGGGTGTTGAGAGTTCATATTTTTTATTAAAGCACAAAATGGAGGGGAGAGGGACAGGGGAGAACTGGGAATCTACAAGATTTTGAAACCTCAAAGTCTTCCCAGAGTGACAAATAATGATATACATCCTACATTAAGGCCATTATTTTCTAAAACTCCCCAAACAGTGCCACCAACTGGAGACCAAGTGATCAAACATCTGAGTCTATTGGGGACATTCTCATTCAAACCACAATAACAAGATATAGGTTTCACTGCTTGATAATAATAATGAGAATTCATGCTGCAAGAAGGTATAGATAGCAGGGCTAGAGATGTAGCTCAGTTGCTAAAAGTTCTTTCGGATGCATGAAGCCCTGGGATCAATCCCCAGCATTGTATAAATTAGGCATGGTGAGGTAGAGGCAGGGGAATCAGAAGTTCTGGATCATCTATATAGCAAGGTATGTGGCTGGGGCTCCATGAGTCCCCATCTCAAAAGCCAAACAAAACTTGAGATAGAGAAGAAAATGAATGCATTCAATTTTTTGACATGTCTATCACATTTTAATTTTATAATAAGTAAATAGAAAAGATACAATACAGTACTACAGTGGTTATTTACTGTTACATATTATGTATATTTCTAAGTACCATTCTTCCTACTATCTTTAAGAACTTTTTACATACTTACTTTTTCCTTTAGAAAGTAGAACGCAGTAGTTGTTAGAGATTTGTGCTGCTCCTTTGTCGTTGCTGCTTTTAATACAGATGTCTGTGCTATTTCTAGATTGTTGAAGTCTGATGCTGGGGCTCACAAATCTACCCTAAAATGAATGATAACTTTTTAGAATAATTCCTTTGAGTTTTGTAAACTGTGGCTTAGCTAGGGTATATTCTCAATTTCTGCTGACTTTTTGCAAAAAGCCTAAAGTAACTGTTCATACCAATCATTGATTACTTTCTTTGATCAACCCATACTGTTCGCAGACTTTTATGCTTACTTGAAAACATTGCTTGGGAAAAGGATAAGCTGTATTAAGTAACTACCATGTTACAACCAGGTACTTTACCTAAATTATTTAATCCTTGGGGTAATATTGGCAGGATAGGAGCTATCATTGTATAGATTGGAGAATTAACCTATTAAGTATTTATTTCTTAGCTACTAAAGTAGAAAATAAGCTACTTAAATGTAGCTTTTGTACAGATCTAAAACTAGAAATCACTGTACTACAAATATTAGATCCGATATTTGTAAAACTTAAGATTTACTTATTAAAGGTTATTTAGCATAGTGTCTGTGTTCTGATCAAATGAGTCTTCAAAATACTTAATATATTTTAGATGTTTCAGGTGATTTGTGTAAAATGGAAATCTGTCTTCAAAAATAAATGTTTGTGTCTAAACAGTTGCTCAGCCAACTTAAAGGAAATTTAGAGGAAGAAAATCGTCACCTATTGGATCAGATCCAGACACTGATGCTACAGAACAGAACGCTGCTGGAACAAAACATGGAGAGCAAGGATCTCTTTCATGTTGAACAAAGACAGTACATGTAGGTACCAAAGAGTTTTGTATTCTTAAGTATTCACGATGTTGCTGCTGTATCTAGTGGCAGACAAAACTCCATGCTCATTTTTCTTGATGTTATTACATCACTATTTCAGTATGTGTTTTTTATTTAAAATTACCTTACTGCTTGAATGCACAAGACAAATGCAAGGTGTTGAATTGGACTGTGGAAGCTGGTTTTTCCAGTTGGGAGTGAGGACTCAGTCTTGCAGTAATGAGTCAGTGAGTGAATTTGGTACTCTGTCACAGTCAAATGGAATTTAGCATCATCTTTTCCATTCTTCTCAAGATATTGACAAACAGCAACTTCTTTCTCATATAAGTGGTAGAGATCCTCAGGAAGATCAGGAGACAGTCTTTTGGACCTAACATTCCCAAGATTCTCTTACCATGTGAGTCCCTCAGGATCATGCTGATTTGTGAGAGAGTCAGACCTTGCTTTTCCAGTTTGTAAATCTGCTCCTTCACATCATTGGTATCAGTTTTCAGCCAGGTAAGGACCCTACCACAGTAGGGCAGAGCCGACTGCTACAGGCCTTTCCCAGGAGTGGGCATTAGACCTAGGGCGGTGATACTCTGTCAGCCAAGAAAGAACATTAGGGAGGATATGCTGCCTTGATATGGATTTTCAAGTTTCTTATGTTCTAAGCAGTTTGCTAATAATCAGAATACTAGATAGAAAGCATGTGGGTCCTGCCCTAAGAGAGGTATTATAAACAAGACACATGCCTATCGTCTCAGCAGTTAACACACTGGGTTTGAAAGCCTGCCTGACTTTACAACCTCAAGACCAATGCAGACAATTTAGGTCTCATGTAAACCAGGCATGGTAGTCCTTGCCTTACAACAGTCCAGCACTCTTGTGATAATCAAAAACATCAGGTCTAGGTCATCCTTGGCATACAGGGAATCAAGGGCAGCCTGGGCTACATCAGACCCCATCTCAAAAAAAAAAAAAAAAAAAAAAGGCCGGAGAGATAACTCAGCAGTTAAGAGCACTGGCTGATCTTCGAGAGGACCCAGTTTCAATTCCCAGCATGGTAGCTCATAACTGTCTATAGTTCTATTTTCGGGGGATCCAACACCCTCACACAGACATGTAGGCAGGCAAAACACCAATTCACATAAAATAAAAATGAATTGCAAAAAAGAAAGAATATTCTGTCATGCATCAAAAAATAAAAGACCATCTAAAGTAAAAAAGCAAGAAATGCAGTATATATTGTGTATTAAGTGTAATAATTCTATAGTGAGAGATAAATCTTAAGGGCTATAGAAATACAGCAAATGCTAGATTACCTGTGTCTTGGTGCAAGATGGACTTTTCTAAAGAGACTCAAACTGAGCCGATGCTCAAAGGTGCCGTGGAAGTTGGTTCAAGGCAGTGTGTTGGGCCAAGAAAGCACCAGTGCAGAGACTTGGAGAGATGAGAGAATATTGTTATGCTGTAGAACCAAAAGTACTCTTTCTAGAGCCAATTAGAAGAAAGGAAAGCAATAGAAAAGTGGCTTAACTGTGAGGGAGCAGTTCACATGGAGATGAGACTAAATTACAAGAGAGACATGATAGAAAAGTTGTCTAATTATTAATAAAGGTATCTGTACAGAGAGAGAGTCTAAAAAGTTTTTTTGGGGGACAGCTCAGTGGGTAGTCTTTTGGTCATACTAAGTCATAGAATTTATCTTTACAAAATCCTCCCCTTTATTTATCCAAATAAGGTAAGAAGTTCTGTAATATAAACAGTGAGATGTCCTCAGTTCACTGGGTGTATGACTATAGGCACCTCATTTTATTTCTCTGTCATTGGCAGTTCCCTCTGTAAAGTAGAGCTGGCTGCTGCTGCTGCTGCTAGGGTTGTTTTAAGGGTTAGGTCATTTAATGCATGTCTGCTTTTCGAGCTTGCTGCAAGCCAGAGCATGTAAAAGCAGAATGTATACAATGTTTTCTGAAGCATCAAACTATTGCAGAATTTGGGGTGGGGAGACATTGCTTCTATATTAATATTCAGGTATTTCACGGAACAATATAGAGTTTGCATGAGATTTTAAGATAAATGCAAAATTGCAAAGAAATCTCACACTGGTGACTGATCACTTTGGACCACGCCTTCAGTCTTTTAAAGGATATGCATTCCTTGACTCTGCCATGAGAAGGTATTTTAAGAAACCCCAAGCTTACGTACATCCTTGGTGCTTGAGTTTCCTGTGCCTCAGGAAGAGGCACTATTCAAAACCTTATGTTATTCATAACTTTCATCATGAGTTCATTTCCAGATTTCAGTGAGTTTGTCTTTGTGGTTGGTGCTGTGAGCCTTTATTACTTATTACAGAAATAGTAATTAATAGTCTAGGTATCAGCTCCAGAATATTTATAACTACGAATTTGGCTGTATGTAGAGTATATACTGGGTGCTAGGTATTCTCAAATAGGCTCCAGAGAAATTCCTTCTCACCATGGTGTCAGCAGTAAGAGCTGCAGCCTCTGGATCTCACACTACATAGCCTTAGTTTTTCCCTTTGAGAAGTCCCCTTTAATCAGTTAGCAGCATGTGTTGAAAGTCATGTCTCCTCCCTGAGATGTAAGTCATAGCATTTCTCAAGATTTAATTGGCCTTTCTGGCTCTGAGATATATGCATGCCCTATTGTCAGAGAGTTGTTAAATATGGCTGTGGATATAAAAACTAGAACCCTTGTGGGATGAAGAACTTTTCGGGGAACTTTTACAAGGAACTTTTTGGAGACAGTTTAGAAGAAACTTTGAGAGAATTTTTAGAAAGAATTCTAGGAGAATTTTTAAGGAGAACTTTAAGAGAAAGCTTATGGAAGGAAAATTATTAGAGAGAGCTTTCAAGGAGAAATCTTAAAGAGAGCTTTTGAGAGAGAACTTTTGAAGAAGAACATTTCTTGAAGAATAAAGAGCTATGAGAAGAATGATACTTATATGAACTGATTGACTGACCCCCAGATCAGAACTTTCAGCCAACCCCAACCCGCCTGCTGTAAGCCTGAACTGGAGATAGGTTGTCTATTTTGACTTACTAAAATTAAGCTACAGATAACCACCTTAAATGTCAAGACATTTCTAGCTGAATGCCTCTATCAGATAAAAGGAAAACAGTACTGGGAGCTGTGCCTAACCTTTAGGTTACAGCCTATTCCATTTGCTGAAGATTTCATATCACTTTGTGGTTTTGTTTGGTTGACTTTGTTCTGTTTTGTTGCTGTTTGTTTCACCTCTGTCTCCCGTGTGGTTGGGTTGGCCATGATGACATGCTTGACCCATATTATCACTTTTAACAGAACTTAAAACATCTTATTTCCTACTGAGCAAAATATAAACTAGGTATTCCCTTACTGCTCCTCTTAGCCTATATTCATGACCATGGCAACTCTTATAAAGGAACATTTGTCTGGGGCTAGCTTACAGTTCAGAAGTTTAATCCATTGTCATCATGGTGGGTGACATGCAGATAGACATGTTGCTGGAGGAGGAGCTGAGAGTTCTTCATCTTGATCTCAGGCAGCAGGAAGTGAACTGTCACACTGGGTGTGGCTTGAGCATATGTGAGACCTCCCGCCTCCACAGTAACACACTTCTCCAGCTAGGCCACATCTCTGAATAGTGCCACTCCCTATGGACCAAGCATTCAAACACAAAAATCTGTGGGGGCTGTTCCTATTTAAACCATCACAACTACCAAGAATATGAAATGAGAATAGGATGTGATTATGTACTTTTTGACTGGGGGAGGAATGTCAGAGCTAAATCTTTAAAAGTAAGTTAAGCATGAGTAATTTAGCCTAAACAGAAACAATCTATTGAATGAAGATTATTTATTATATCTATAATTGTTAGAAAAATATCTGACAGTCTTTATTTTTATAAAAAATGTTTGAGATACTAAAAAGTTAGGTAAATAATGTTTGTATAGTACCTAGTAACAATACAATTTTGAGACAATTATATGATGAGATTATACTAAGATTTCAAATAAGTCCTATTGTAGAATTGAAACTTACAAGTCCTATATCCCTTTATTTAAGTAAATTTAAAGGAAAGGAAAAATATGGAAGAAATTCATTGTTACTTTTTTAAGTCTCAGTTACCAAAAATGGTTTCTGTGTTCGTTTATGTTCTGGAAAGAAATAAGGTCATAGTTATGAGTCATTATTATGCATATTCTAAAATGTAATTTCCATTTTTGTAGCGACAAATTAAATGAACTGAGACGACAGAAAGAGAAATTAGAAGAGAAAATTATGGATCAATACAAATTTTATGACCCATCTCCTCCTAGAAGGTACCACTCACCAGATTTTATGGATCTTGTTTTGAAGAAAACCTTATTTGTAGTATTGTTGAGGCTTATCATTTTATGAGGATTGTTGCTGAACTTTAGACTAAAAATTCTTTTACTTCTATTAGGAGAGGCAATTGGATTACTCTAAAAATGAGAAAACTGATAAAATCCAAGAAGGACATTAATCGGGAACGTCAGAAGTCTCTAACATTAACGCCCACCCGCTCAGACTCCAGTGAAGGCTTTCTTCAGCTGCCTCATCAAGACAGTCAAGATAGCTCCTCAGTAGGGTCAAACTCTTTAGAAGATGGTCAGACCCTGGGGACCAAGAAGAGCAGCAGTGAGTGCTAATTGCTTTAAACAGTCTTATTTAGAACCCTGTCTAAAGATTTCTCTTTCAAAGGCAACTTCCAACAGTCTTTTAGTTTGATGAATGATACTTCATTTTAACTTTGTTTTTTAAATTAATTTCAGACAACTATGTGGTTTTCTGACATGTACATAGAAATAACCATTGTTGTGCTAGTAAGGTAAAATACTGTAAAAAGGAACATTGAAATAACAGCTTGACTATGTCTGGCCCTAAAATGTGCTGTTAAAATAGGCTTCACAGAGTAATTATAAGGATAAGAGATAAGAATGAGATTTCATTTCATTGGTATTTATAATTTACTCAAAGTACAGCATTTTATAATGAGGTTTTTGCTCATGTGCTTTGGTAGTATAAAATTGGAACAAAGTTATCATACTGGGGAAATAAAGAAAAATAAATACTAATTTGAAGAGGTATTACAGAATTTACTTAAAGATAACTGGTATCAAAAAATTGAGGGATACCTGCTAAAGTTTTGGTAAAAATGAAATAAAAATGGGGAAATATGAATGTATAAAGTTACAATTTAGTTTTTACTAGACTTGGAAGCCCCCAAATAATATGCCTGATACAATTTATAGACTTTTTAGTTTACTACTGCTAGTGTGTATTTTAGCTAAATTGCAAGATCAGAGAAAGAGCCTGGAAAGTATGTAATTTAAGAAAAAGAAAAGAATTCAATACTAAGCTCTTTGAAGATGACTTCAAAGTTGACTATCTGTGTTCTTATAAAATACCTGGAAAAGTGTACACTTTGATCACATCTTTACCAGTATCACTAAATTTATAAATACAGCCAGGTGTGGTGATGCACACCTGTAATCTCAGTGCTGGCGAGTGAAAGGAGGAGGATTGGAGTTCAGAATCTTCAGAGCTGGTATATAGTAAGTTCAAGGCTAGCCTGGCTTACATGAAACTCTTTCTAACAAACAAACTACACTATTCTTTTGAAATTAAAAGTAAGCAAAGGCAGCTGCTGTTTCCCTCAGAGGTAGGCTGTCCATGCGGATGGTTCTCAAAATACTCAACAAAAAAAAAAAAGGTACAATGTTATGGCTTTGTGAATTGTTTCCAGAAGGAGATGGTATTTGAGACTGTAGCATATATTTCACAGTACAGTGTTAGCAGCCTAGCCAGTCAATCCGTGATAACAACAAAAAGTACAGGTGCATACATAATATACATCTCATATTCTCTAGAAAGCAATAAACTTCTAAAGCCAGGTGATGGTGGTGCACGCCTTTAATCCCAGCACTCAAGAGGCAGAGGCAGGTAGATGTCTGTGAGTTCGAGACCCATCTGGTCTACAAAGCTACAGAGAGAAACCCTGTCTTGAAAGACCAAAAAAAAAAAAAAAAAAAAAGAAGAAAAGAAGAAAAGAAAAGAAAAAAAGAAAGCAATAGAATTCTATAGCTCCACATAAGATTATTATTATCTGCAATCTTTTGACATCTAGCCTCATCCACCTAATAAATACTGGTATGGAGAAATCTTCAAGTTTTCCTTTGCAGGTAGCTAGTAGTCAGTTTTATCTACTACCTTTAGACACAAAAGCATCTGGCATCCTATTAAGAAAATGTAATGCATGTCCTTAATTGTTTTAAGTTTACAGGAATATAATTTAGACATGAGTGTACACACACACAGACACAGACACACACACACACACACAGTCATTCTGTCTGTCTGAAGTATAAGTCATTTTCCATACTGCCTCCTGGAACATTCAGGATAAAAATTAGAAGTAAACAATATTCTCCTTTTCTACAGTTATTCGACTTTAGATTTTGTTTTCAATAAACATAAAACTCAATACTAATGTATTGTTAATATAAATATGCTTTGGGAAAAGAACATGTGTCTCAAACATAATTGCCATGAGAAGAATCACATCTCTGGCAAATTTTAAATTCTTCTTATCCTGCCCATTTTGGAAGAATGTCTGTCTGTCATGTCAGTAAAGCAGTCTTTGAAAAACAGCTGAAAACAGAAAAAGGAAAAAAAAGAAAAGTATCTACACATGACATGTGCATGCTGCAACCATTCAGCTTTGTTTTAGCTAAGTGTCCATTTTTACATTACTTTCAGTTCATTCTTTTTTGATCATTGAGACGAGCTATGTTTACCAAGCATGAAAAGATATATGCCAAATTTAAAAGCTTAAATAAATGAATCATGACTCTCCTCACAGCACTTAAACAAGAAGCTATTTTAGCTTGCACATCTTTCCATGAGAACTTACCAATTTATCAAAAAAAAAGCTTTGAATATACAAGCTGATGACAACCTTCTGAGAAAGAACATAGTTATTAAGGTTGTATATGTTTTCATAAATGTATAATTATTTTTATATTAAGCCATACTAAGATATACCTTATAATTCTTATACTTGTGCAATAGTCCTTTAATTCACAAAATTATTTTTGTGAAGTGCTTCCCTTTTTTTGCATAAATCCACCCTATGGGCCCTCTAAATTACATTTTAAATTTGTTATTTATTATGTTCTGTACATGAATGTTTTGTTTGCCCTTATGTCTGGTACTGCATGCATAGCTGGTGCCATCAGAAGCCAGAAGAGGGCATTGGATATCCTGAAACTGAAATTACAGACAGTTGTGAGCTGCCATGTGGGTGCTTGGAATTGAACTTGGGTCCTCTGGAAGAACACCTAGTGCTCTTAACTGCTGAGCTGTCTCCCTGGCCTCCAGATTATGCCTAAATGCTTCCCACCCGTTTTGCTTGCCTTGGAGTTCATTTTGTTACCTTAAAAACTTAGTGCTAACACTTATTGCTGATGTCAAACCATTCTTTTTTCCTCCTTCTATCAATCAACTTTTTGTAAAATGAGCCTAATATACCTGCTGTTTCATCTTTAGGAAGACTTGTTGAGAATGTGTGTCTATACAGTGCTGTTAAGTAATGCACTGGATTCCAGTTGAAATCACTGTTTTCTTTATTAAACTTTAGAAAACTAACAAAAAAATGAAGGCTTTTTTTAAAAAGTGTATTTTGCTTTAAATACCTAGCCATCCCCATTTTAGTTGATGTATGTGTATTATCTTCATATGTATATAGATATAGATATACACATATATATTACTAAAATTCTCTGGTGGGATATGTGTTTTTCTAACTTTTTTAAAGAAAGCCTTAAACTTAAATTTTTTAAAGAAAATGAGATGCTTATGAACCTTTTATGATTATCTTTTGTAGTAAAAGACACCAATAGCCAAATTTTAAAAGTTTACTTTTACAATTTAACTAGGACATTTGGTTTCTCCCTAAATACTTGTAATGGGTTCCTGTTTTTATAGGCCTGTAGCCAGTCCATGTTCCTCGTGGTTGTCGTCAGTCCCTCTAAGTATTTAGAGTATCAGAGTGCATGCTCCCTGTTTCACGATCCCCAGCAGCAGGAGGGTATTAGCTGTAATGTAGTGTACATAGCGAGACCAACATTCATTCCTGTCCTTAATTTCAACATTTAACTCCCATCTGTTCTTCTCCCTTTTTTCTTTCATTTCCCTGTTTCTGTTTTTCCTCATGCTCTGACATTAAAGTGGTTGCACTGAAAAGACTGCCCTTTTTGAGGAACAGACCGAAGGATAAAGACAAAATGAAGGCCTGCTACCGTCGTTCCATGTGTAAGACCCTATGACAGTTCAGCTTCTTTCAAATGACCACACTGGCTTCCATCACTAATTTTTCACTAACCCTTCTCTGGACTGTACTAATTTCTTCTTTTGCAAAGTGCAGTCGTCCTTTATATGAGGAGCTGGAAGAATATTTTTTTCAAAAGGACATTGAATTTGCATTATATGTATACTCATACATATATGCCTATTTAGTAATACATGTAATACACTTGTAAATGCCCAGTGCTTTCTTAAGCAAAACAAAGAAACTTAATTTTACATGCCATATAGATTTTCCCCAAAGTTTAAGGAAAAATATAACAAA